GGGCTGCACGGCGGCCACCCGGAAACTCAGGAGCGGGATGCTGCCCAGGATGCTCTCCTCCTTCTCATCTGTCAGGAAACAGAGGCAGGTGAGGTGCGCTCGTGCGGTGCGCGCGCGCGTGTGTGTGCATGCGTGTGCAGGGGAGGAGACAGGAGCATGTCACCCCTGTTATGATAAACTGCAACACACATTTGTTGCTCATCTACAGTAGGCACGCCAGGCCACATACACCAGCACGCAGGCTTGTGCTCTGCACCCCACACCACCAAGAGGCATGCTCTTGGATCGGGGCACTGGGGCGTGTGCTGGCTGTGGACACGCTCTGGGCATGGCTACAGGTGAATGACAGGGAAGCAGTCCCACCTCGGGGAGCTGGCATTCTAGTACACAAGCAGGCAAACCGATTAGAGCTCATTGTTCTACGTCAGAAACTGTTCTAAGTGAAAAGCCTTCATGCATTGAATCCTCTCAACAATCCTGTGGACAGGGACTGCTATGATCCCCGTTTTCTGAGACGCAGAGAGGTTAAGTAATTTGTCCAAGGCGACTTAAGTAGAAAGTGGAGGACTGGTCTTTGAACCCCCGGAGTCTGACCCCCAAGCCGTCATTCTTAACCACTCCACCGTGCACAGTGCCTGCCCAACTAAAGACTGTTCCAGTGGCCGCACACACAGCAGGATCACGGGATGGGGCGTGGGAGCGTGGACGGGGCCCTCTGTGGTTCTGGCTCCTCTGGGTAACTGTTTCTAAGGTTCTTCCCGACACCCAGCAGCTTGCTTTGTCTTCTCCTGATGCAGACGCACACCCCCCTTACATCTCTGTCTCAGGGAACACCTGCCCCCGCATGGCCTTCTGGTCCTCTGGTCCCTGGATCAGGCTAACCATCAGGCTGTTACATAATTCATCCTGGTTCTCCAGAGGAGCCTGATGGATTAGCCAGTCGGGCACCCAGCTGTCAGCAGGAGGCCCGGAGGGCAGGGTGTTCTGTGGGACAGGATGGGAGCAGCCATGAGGCCATGGCAAGACACTCCCCACTCGCCCAGAATAGCTCCTTATGCCCTGGGCTGGAGATGTACCCCCCAGAGAGAGTTCAGAAGAAATCTCTTCGGGCTTATAAACTCCACTAGTTCTCTCTTTCCTCTCACTCATCACTTGCACAAGATACTTGGCCCAGCGTCCAGCTTCCTGTGCAGACCTCAGCGTGGTACCCAGAGCAGGGCTAAGCCGAAGGAGCAGGAGGGACCAGGCCTGGAGACCAGGAAAGCAGAGGCTGCCAGCGCCTGGAGGAGACGGCCCTGCCCGGTACTGCCCAGGTCTGCATTTAGGGGGTCTCCTGAGAGCACCTCAGTGGATAGTGACCCCCAGAGCAGTACCCTCTGACATGCACAGATTTTTAAGGTTCTTCTCTCATGCTGGGCCCAGAGTCTCTCCTCTGAGGAGATCCTGGCTTCCCCCAACTTTGTTCACACTCTATCCTGGAGGCCCAGCCTGGGCAGATTCCTCTGCCCCAATCTTGGGGTTTCCTCTGTGACTGGACCTGTATATGCAGCCCCTTCCTTCCTGATCTCTCCTCAGAGTTCAGGTGGCAGCAGCTCAGGGCACAGGAATAGCAGCACTGGGGAGGGGTGTGTGTCACTGGGTACAGCCTTTGTTTGCCAAAGTTAATGATTCACAGAGTTGTTCCAGGAAGGCCCAGGGAAATCTAGGCTCTGCCGCTCCCGGGGCGTGGAGGGGCGTGGAGGGGCGCGGAGGGGCATAAAGGGGCGCGGAGGGGCGTGGAGGAAAAGGGAACAGTTCCTTCTGCTGCAAAGACGTTTCCCCTTCTCTACCCAGTGCCCTGCATCAGGGCGACAGGCCACCACCGTCACCACCCTGCTTGCTCCCTCTGTGCTCTCCCTGAGACAGTGTTGCTGTGTCACTTTAAAAACACCTTCCTCGAGGTTGCTGCACCAGTGTCGTCAGATCTTTGCCCTCCTCTGCTTTGGAGAGGGTCAGGAGTGAGTGCTGGGTGGACAAAGAAGGCAGAAGCTGGGGTATTTGTCTAGTCCCCATGGATGGAGCACCTGCTCAGTGCCTACACTGAACACAATGGACAAAACCCGCTGCCTCCGTGGACCGGGTCGTGCGTTCCACGGGAGAGGAGGAAGATGAGCATACACGCTCCAGCCAGTAGGGGACCTGCTGGTAGTGGTCTGGCAGATGGGAGGAGTGGTGGGCACTTGCCCTCAGGCCTGGGGCAAGCTCACCTTTGTAGTAGAAGAGGCAGCGATCCACCAGGACGAACCAGCGCTTGTTCCATTGCTTGACCCCGGAGCTGGCCTGCGGAGCACGTGGAGAGAGACAGACGGAGGGGCAGTGAGCTGGGCATGGGAGGAGTGGAGGTCATAGAAGGGGCCCTGCACTAACTTTAAGGATATCCCGCCTCTGGTTGCAGCTCGGCCACTAACAAGTAGCAGCAACCCTCTTGAGACTCCAGGTGCAGGCACCTGACATGGGGTCATTGCCTGTGACCTTCAGTTCTGTCATCTTGGGCCTCAGGACTCGCCCCCTGCCCCCCATCCCCTCCCCCCCAAAGATGAAAAGGGCAAGAAATGAGCCAGAATGAGTGAGCAGAGGGCAGGCAGGGACAGTGGCAAGGACAATGGGGAGAATTGCTGGACCTA